TCCCAGTTAACAGCCTGCTAGCTGTAGTTTGAGCTAAATGTAGTTTTTGTCCTTTTTTATTTGTTTTTTAATATATATATATATATATAAACATACAACAAAAAACAATTCAAGATCCAAATAGCAAGATTACTCTGAATCTCCTGACTTTCCCCCATCCCTTCCATGGGTCCTACTGATAATATTTACAACTGCATACAGTGGTACCTCGGGTTACAGACGCTTCAGGTTACAGCCTCCACTAACCCAGAAATAGTACCTTGGGTTAAGAACTTTGCTTCAGGATGAGAACAGCAATTGTGCAGCAGCGGCACGGCAGCAGTAGGAGGCCCCATTAGCTAAAGTGGTACCTCAGGTTAAAAACAGTTTCAGTTTAAGAACAGACCTCCAGAACGAATTAAGTTCTTAACCCGTGGTACCACTGCATCAATGTTTATCCAAATTTTATCCTTCCAAATTATCCATACTTTCCATTACTTTACAAGTGGGATTAAAATCCTGCTGATCTTTTAAGCTGCTTACAATGGTCTTGTAATCGTTTTTTAAAGTTCTTTTCTTCTTGATTTCTGAGCTTCCATGTTAATTTTGCCATTTCAGCACAGTCCATCAACCTGATTTGCCATTCTTCTTTGGCTGGGGTTATTTCTTCCTTCTGTCTCTGGGCTAATAACATCCGTGCGGCTGTTGTCACATACATAAACAATCTTTTCTGGTCCTTTGGTATCTCAGTACCTGTAATTCCTAATAGAAAGTCTTCTGTTTTTTTAAAACAAAATTGTTAATATAGTTTTCGAACATTGTCCAAAGGTTACCCAATATGCAACATAGCCCAAGTAAATGTTACCAAAGCAAAAATAGGAACATCTTGAGTCTATAATCACTCCTGCTATATGCAAAAAGCTATATCAGCAGTGGAGCAAGCTGATTGGGCGCCTGGGGCAGCATCTGTGCCCAGGGGCGGGGCCAGCTGCCCACAGGGGCAGGAGCAGTCGCTGGTGGGGCAGGGCAAGCCAGAGCAGGATGCTCCACAGGGCTTCTGAGGAGTCTGCCTGCCTCCTCCCACTCAGCCGCTCTACAGCTGGGGGGGGGGAGGAGGAGGCAGCAGGCAGATCGTTTGGGGCAGCATGGAGTCTGTGGGCACCCAAGCCACCGTGTCAATCCCAGGAGAGACGTGTGGCTCAGAAGAAGAAGAAGAAGAGTTTGGATTTGATACGCCACTTTATCACTACCCTAAGGAGTCTCAAAAAGGGACACGGGCGGCACTGTGGGTTAAACCACAGAGCCTAGGACTTGCTGATCAGAAGGTTGGCTGTTCGAATCCCCATGACAGGGTGAGCTCCCGTTGCTTGGTCCCTGTTCCTGCCAACCTAGCAGTTCGAAAGCATGTCAATGTGCAAGTAGATAAATAGGTACAGCTCCAGCGGGAAGGTAAACGGCATTTCCATGTGCTGCTCTGGTTCGCCAGAAGCGGCTTAGTCATGCTGGCCACATGACCTGGAAGCTGTACGCCGGCTCCCTCGGCCAATAAAGCGAGATGAGCACCGCAACCCCAGAGTCGGTCACTACTGGACCTAATGGTCAGGGGTCCCTTTACCCTTTACCTTTTAAGGCGTCTCAAAGCGGCTTACATTCTCTTTTCCCTTTCTCCTCTCCCCCAACAAATGCTCTGTGAGATGAGTGAGGCTGAGAGACTTCAGAGAAGTGTGAGTAGCCCAAGGTCACCCAGCAGCTGCATGCGGAGGAGCGGGGAAGCGAACCCGGTTCACCAGATTACGAGTCCACCGCTCTGAACCACTACACCACTCTCCCCTCAGTGGTGACACCTGGGGCAGCCCACCCCCACCACCCCCACCTTCCTCTGCCCCTGGTCTATATGTGTATATCACTAGAAGGAGAGAGTTGGGTTGGGATCTTTAAACTAAGAGCTCACCCAGACTTGCACTTCACAGGTGTGAGTGGTTTCCCGCTTGTCTCTCAATTTCTAGCCATGGGTTCCAAGCAGTCTGGTCCTTGCCCCTCTGCTTTCCCTGGGAAAATCCGCTCTTCGGTGATAAATCAGAGCAAATGTCAATCCAGAGAAAAACCTGTCTGACGTTTGCTCCGATTCAACGGTAAAGATCGGGTTTCCTCGGGGGCACTGGCAAGTCTGGATGACTCCCTTAGAGTCACTGACAGTATGGATGATAACAGAAGAGGGAAAGGAATATGGGGACAACAGGACGATGTCTGTGATATTTCAGTAAACATGGTTTATCACAAAGGTAGGCAGGGGAAAGTCAGGTGCATCTTATGTAAACTGCTTTGTGGTGGTGTTGTTTTACATTCAAGCAGTGTGTTTATTTTATGAAATAGATGAATTTAATTAATAAATAAAGTGTGTGCTGCTGATCCAGTACAAATCCACCACTAACAGACTTATGTTATGTCAGATTATATGCCATTTTATACTGGAAATATACAGGGCCTTTGGCACCGGTTTCAACTGGGCCCATAAGGCCGTTTTCCACAAACCATGCTTAGCTGCCCCCACACCCACACACACCTGATGTCACAATGTAGTGTCAGGTGTGAGGCAGGTAGACAGACAGGCAGGTGGATCAGTTGCAGTGTTATCTGTTTGTTTATTATTTATAAAAGCATATCAGTACTACTGTATTAGGGCGGTGTGCAATGTAATACAGATCTGTGTGGAATCACATTGTGCACAAGGTTGGGAAGGAATTAGTTTTTGTAAACAGATTTTGTTCATCATATCTATTGTAATAAATGTGTTTCTTTCTCTCTCTCTCTCTCTCTCTCTCTCTCTCTCTCTCTCTCTCTGTGTGTGTGTGTGTGTGTGTGGTGTATAAATTTTAGCCACTAGAGGGTACTGTTAACTTACTTGTCTTTCAGTTGTTATGGCAGTTAGTTATTTAGGTTTTAAAACTGTTCTTACCTTCTTCTTTCTTTCTTTCTTTCTTTCTTTCTTTCTTTCTTTCAAAGTGCAATAACAGCAGAACAGATTAAAATAATGAACTCAGACAGCAGCAGCATTTCTAGATCTCAGAAGGTCTGGGAACTGCATGATCTCTCCTGCCCTCCAATAGGATGATCTAAGAGGCTTGCAGTCTGTTGTTCTCTTCATAGAGAACCATTTGCCGCTACTTTCGGGTGCTGAAAGCCAAACCTCTTGACTCGTATGACATCTCTCCATAACTACAATTGTTTTCTCAGCTATTCAGTCTAGGAGGTCACTGTTTAGGGAAGTTTTTAATATTTAATGCTGTATTGTTTTTAACACTTGATTGGGAGCAGCCCAGAGTGGCTGGGGAAACTCAGCCAGATGGGCGGGTATACATTTTATTATTATTATTATTATTATTATTATTATTATTGAAATAACATTTTCCATAAGCAAGCACATTGACTTGTATCCAGTTGAAGTCATTTTGACAACTGGTCATGCGAAACAGTTTTGGCAGAGGAACGCAGATACTGATGGATGTCTTCCATGCATGTCAAAATATGATGTTGCACACAGCTCTCAAAAAATAGCATTTTTTATTTAAAACTCCCGTACAATTTAAAGAATAAGTACTGTAATAAAGAAAATAATGAATATGTTATTGATACAATTGAACTATATTAGATCGAGTCTCGATACATTTGAAAATAAAAAGTTTTACTTAGTCTGCTAAGTTTAAACTAATTTAATCCATCCATTTCCTGTCATCTAATTCCATAATAAGCTAGGAACAGAAGCATATTTAATCACAATTACCATTTAATTACTAATTCAGACAATGGCTTTTGTATCTGCTCATTCATTCAAGAGTTACCTAATCAGAAGAGGCAAATTAATTCCAAACCCCGAAAGAATAAGAAGTCTGTAATCCATTCAAGCAAGGTTCTTATATGAACCTTAGCTTGTTTCTGGTGGACAGTAAACAAAACAATTGCATGGACGCATTGCCGTGATTTAGAACATGGAAAAAAATGTGTATTTGCAGCTGTGAAGCTCAATGACTATGTTTTAAAGCAACATGTATCCTGACCCAAAGCATGTTACAAGTAAGTTCAAGAGAGTGCAATGGGATTTATCTCCTAAGCAGGGTGATATCAAATTCTAGCCTTAGCTTTGTTGGTTTAAGCTGAAGAGTTAGTACACTGGGTATCAAAAAGCCCTGTGCAGGCCTAGTGCCATGCACTACACAAGCGAACTAAAACCTGATTTCGTGTGTGTCATACAAATCTGCCTGTGTTCTTGGTTTATTTCTAGATTTGTGCCTATGATATGTTTGAAACAAAAAACTAGAACCTGGTCTGCATGTGAGATTCTATCCACATAACACCGGACTTGAAAGACCTACATTGGCTTCCAGTGCGTTTCCAAGCACAATTCAAAGTGTTGGTGCTGACCTTTAAAGCCCGAAACGGCCTCAGTCCCGTATACCTGAAGGAGCATCTCCAGCCCCATCGTTCAACCCGGACACTGAGGTCCAGCTCTGAGGGCCTTCTGGCGGTTCCCTCCCTGTGAGAAGTGAACCTACAGGGAACCACGCAGCGGGCCTTCTCGGTAGTGGCACCTGCCCTGTGGAATGCCCTCCCATCAGATATCAAGGAAATAAACAACCATCTGACTTTTAGAAGACATCTGAAGGCAGCCCTGTTTAGGGAAGTTTTTAATGTCTGATGTTTTATTCTGTTTTTAATCTGTTGGGAGCCACCCAGAGTGGCTGGAGAAACCCAGCCAGATGGGAAGGTATATTATTATTATTATTATTATTATTATTATTATTATTATTATTAGTCCAACGTGGCACCTGCAAATGGGGGAGGGATCCACCGGGGGACCAGGGTCCTTTTTTTACAATTAATGTGACACACAAGAAGCCCACAGTGTCAGACAATTGGTACATTGTGTCCAATGTTATAAATTCCTACTAGCAGTGGCTCCAGGGGCAGAAACCGTCTAACCTGCTCCCGACAACTCTTTGGAGCTGGAGATGGCCAAGTCGAACCACGAGACATTTTGTATGTCTAGCACATGCTCTCTGTTAACTTAAAATAGTGCTTTGGATCCTGGGCCCGATATTTGGATTTCACTTAAACAAAAAACTTAGATGTAGGTGTGTCTGAAAGCAAGTCTACGGCATCCTGTTCCATAACTAAACAAATCAAATTTCTGTTGTTGTTGTTTTACTTTTCATGCTGGATCTTCACAGGCCGTTTCTGCTTGCATTTACAGTATAAATGGAATCATGGCTCTTTTTCTCCACCTGTACGTAGCGCACTTCTTCAGGTAAAGCTGGTGCTTCTTTCGGGCCCATTGAGCCATCTGGATAGCCATTAGTAACGCAAAAACTCCAACTGAAGAGAGAGGGAAGAAAAAGACTACTGATCTCCAGGTATCGACAGTGGCATGTCAGAAGAATCATTTCCTACCTAACCACTTAATGAAGAAGACACAAAACATAACATGCTTGTTTTAAGCATATGACCAAGTCTTGCCCGTCCCTATCTGTGCAGGAATAGCTTCCGGAGGGGGTGTAAAACTTCTTCTTTTGAATTGAGTCCAGCAGCTGCAGCTTTTCTTCCTTCTTCCTCATGAGTGAGGCTTAGAGATGAGAGGAAGACTCCTGCTGCTGGACATGATCTCCCTTGTTCTGTTTGAGATTCAATTCAGGTCATATACTATTTTGAGGGGAGTCCTTAATCACAACTTCCTGGTTGAGACATTATGAGAAATGCTGAACGTGGGCATGTGAAGGAACAGCTTGGGATGAAGAAGACATCTGAAGGCAGCTCTGTATAGGGATTTTTAAAAATGTTTAATGCTTTATTATGCTTTTGAATTATGGTGCTGGAGGAGATTTTGAGAGTCCCATGGACTGCAAGAAGATCCAACCTCTCCATTCTGAAGGAAGTCAGCCCTGAGTGCTCACTGGAAGGACAGGTCCTGAAGCTGAGGCTCCAAGACTTTGGCCACTTCATGATAAGAGAAGACTCCCTGGGAAAGACCCTGATGTTGGGAAAGATGGAGGGCATAAGGAGAAGGGGACGACAGAGGATGAGATGGTTGGACAGTGTTCTCAAAGCTACCAGCATGTTTGACCAAACTGCGGGAGGCAGTGGGAGACAGGAGTGCCTGGTGTGCTCTGGTCCATGGGGTCATGAAGGGTCGGAAACGACTAAACAACAACATCCCTTGCTTTTTCCTGTAGGACTAACTGCAGTCGTTAACAGTTGTCAGCAGGTTTACCATATCCATTGAGTCAATCACCCGTCTCCTACTACCCTACTGAGAAAAACCCCACCCCACCCTACCACTATATATAAGGATCTAGTGACTTCTGTTTCAGTGCATCTGAAGAAGTGTGCATGCACACGAACGCTTATACCAAGAACAAGCTTAGTTGGTCTCTAAAGTGCTACTGGACAATTTTTTTAATTTTTTTAATTTATTTCAGTTGCATCAGACCAACATGGCCCCTTCCTTGAACCTACCCTATCTGTGCAGGAATAGCTTCTGATGGAGTGTAAAACTTTTTTTAAAAAAAATTGAGTCCAGCAGCTGCAGCTTTTCCTCCTTCTTCCTCATGACTGAGGCTTAGAGATGAGAGGAAGACTCCTGCTGCTAGTCATGATCTCCCTTGTTCTGTTTGGGATTCAGTTCAGGCTCAGGGCCACCTCAGCTCCTTGGGGCTATAGCAGAATCTCTAGAGCCAAGTTGTGACCAGTCTTGGGTAGGGTATCTTCCAGGGAGGCACACTGGGGTGCCCACTAGGATATGCCAACTTTGCTTGCTCCTAAAAAAATGTGCTGGGGTCAGCTATGGAGTTCTTCCAAGGAAATGTTCATCCTGTTCTATCCACCAAAAATGTGGCAGAACAAAACTTGTGGCTTCCACCCATCTCTAAAATTAATTTACACCAGGGGTAGCCACTGTAATGCCCTTCAATGCAATGTGGACTCCAATTCCCATCAGCCTCAGTCAACAATGGCCAATGGTCAGGGAAGATGGGAAGGCAACACGTTGACTACCACTGATTTACATATGGATAGTGGGCATCATCCAAGCAAGATGAATATAATCCAGTCAAAGGTAAACATGTTCCTCTCCCACTTATTCACTGGGAGAATGTTAAGTTCATTCCTAATTCTCTACAACTGAAGTTAATAAAGGTTCTTAATCATCTGGATCAGGTACATTATCAGTGCTGCAAGTGCAATCTTAGCACAAGGAAACTAGAGGGGCAATATTTTGAATTCCAGTGTTAGCAGGGGCAAGCAGAAATACACAGTGGAAAAAAATGTATTTCATAAAAGGGGTATGGGCTTTTTAATGAATTTGATAGGTTTATCAACAAAGATTTAGCTCTGGGGTCAGCAATTTTTTTCAGCAGGAAGCCAGTCCAATGTCCCTCAGACCACAATAACCCAGAGATGCATTTTAAACAAAAGGACACATTCTACTCATGTAAAAACATGCTGATTCCTGGACTGTCCGCGGGCTGGATTTAAAAGGCGATTGGGCCAGATCCGGCCCCTGGGCCTTAGTTTGCCTACCCATCGTTTAGCTGATTGGTTAGTAGTGTCAGTTTTAATCAGCAGGGCTGAAAGTTTGTTTCTTTTGCTTTCTGGTTCACAATCATGGTAGGCAATAAAAAAAAAATATTACACATTTCCATTCCTTCATACAACATTTGAAAACATCTGTCCATTACAGTTCAAATTATGCTGCCTGATCTTCCTTCCAATGTCTCAAAGGTTAAACAGAGACATGCTTTTTTAAGCATGGTAGAAGTGAGGTGGATGCACACCAAGCCTGTAAACAAATGTGCTTCAATGTAGTGCACTTCCATCACGCTTAAATGTATATTGATAATATACAGGTATATTTAAATTCATTATTGAAAAGATGATCAACCACAAATAGTTGACTCAGTTAGGATATGTAATACTTATAATTTCTACTTCAATAGCAGAAGTTAATTTCTAAGCCACACTGATCATTTTTCTCATCTAGAATGTTTTCTGGGTGATGGTGAACAAGCTTATTCAAAGATCCCAGCTGGAAACTATTTCTGCTCTTACCTGGCAATGTTTGTGTCATCACTGTAAAGCTCATCCAAGAGCCAATCTGTTGCAAATGAAAAAAAAAATCACAATTCACTTAAAGATAAACAGTAGCAAAGCACTGGTAGGTGAGTGGACACAAAGGTGACAAAATATGCATCACAGGTGGGAGGAGACTTGGAGTGGAGCTGGATTCTACTAGAACTATTGTTACAAAGGCAGACCCAGGAAGGTTAAGGGTCCAGTTTGTGAAAATGGATTTCAAAGCTTCACTCAAGAAACCAGGTTGCGGTTCTCCTTAGCATCCTTGCTGGAACCACAAATTAGCTGTGGCCTTATGAAGGCAAACCATGCACATTACCAAAGAGCTTCAACAGAGCTGGCTGGATCAGGCCAATGACCCATCTAATACAATAATAATAATAATAATAATAATAATAATAATAATAATAAAAAATTTTATTTATACCCCGCCCTTCCCGGTTCAAAAACCGGGCTCAGGGCGGCCAACAACAAATTTAAAACACTTTAAAACACATAATTATAAAACCAGCATGAAATACAGTATAAAAAATGAATAACAACAAAATTCAAAAATAAAAAATCAATTACCGTATTTTTCGCTCTATAAGACACACTTTTCCCCCTTCAAAAATTAAGGGGAAATGTGTGTGCGTCTTATGGAGCGAATGCAGGCTCCTTGTCTTCAGCGATAGCTACGGGAAGCCTCCGAAGCGCAGAGGGAGAGCTCCCTCCGTGCTCCAGAGGCTTCACGTTGCTTTCGCTGAAGCCACCTGAAGCCCGCAGAGTGCAGCGGGAACTCCCACTGAGCTCCGGAGGCTTCAGGCAGCTATCCGCAAGCCTTTGGAGCACAGCAGGACTTCCTGCTGCTCTCCGAAGGCTTGCGGATAGCTGCCTGAAGCCTGGAGAGCGAGAGGGGTTGGTGCACAATGATCCATCTTGCTCTCCAAGCTTTGCTTCGCTGGAGAGGCGCTGCACAGTTTTCCCTCTCTGCGCAGCGCCCCTTCAGCGAAGCAGGAGGAGAAATGCAAGGGGCTCCGTTTCTCCTGCCGCTTCGCTGAAGGGATGCTGAGCAGAGAGGGGGAGAATTTTTTCTCTCCTGTTCTCCCCCTCCTATGGTCCGGTGCGTCCTATAAAGCGAAAAATACGGTAGATAATCCCCAGGGCTAGCTGACTGAATTGGTCCTACTTGGGCCAGCGAGGAGGCCAGGGGAGAATTAGCTGTGGGGTCTCAGAGCGAGTAATCTGCATAAAAGGGGAGGGGGAAGGAAGAGAAGGGAAATGAAAGATCAGGCTGAATTCAAATTGAAGGCTAGGCGGAATAGTTCTGTCTTACAGGGCTAATGGAAGGAGGTTAAATCATGAAGGGCCCTGGTCTCATGCGACAGAGCATCCCACCAGGTCGGAGCCATCACTGAAAAGGCCCTGGCCCTGGTGGAGGATAGTCTGACTTCCTTAGGGCCCAGGACCTCTAAACTATGGTTATTCATGGACCTTAAGGTCCTCTGCGGCGCATACCAGGAGAGGCGGTCCCGTAGATTATGTTCTTACAGTAGCCAAGCACATGCTTGTGGGAAACCAAAACGCAGGACCCGAGCACAAGAACATTTGCCTCTCCTGTGGTTTAAAGCAAGTGGAATTCAAAAGCATTGCTGCCTCCATCTGTGGAAGAAGAGTATAGCCATCCTGGCTTGTAGCCATTGATAGCCGTCTCCTCCATGAAATTGTCTAATACTCTTTTAAAGCCATCAAAGTTGGTGGCCATCCTTGGCCCCGTGGGGGAAGTGAGTTCCATAGTTTACCCATATGCTGTGTGAAGAAGTACTTTGCTTTATCTGCCCTGAATCTTCCAACAGATTCAGGACAAAGCTTATAAACCATCTGTGACGTTAACATATATGAGAGAGTGTTGGAGGTGAAATAGTTAAACAGGTTACCCAATCAGAACCCAGGGGGGTGGAGTCAGAGGGACTATAAAACCAGCTCTGGGAGGGGTAAAGGGGGGAGTTCGTTGGGAGTTGGGTGGTTGGTTGGAGTGGGAGTGAATTGGGAAAGAGTCTGTGGGTAGGTTGAGTTAGTGTAGCGAAATAAGCTGAGTCAGGAACAGTTAGGAGCTAGGAAGACAAGTAAATATCTGAGAGGTGGTTTAGTGAGTGAGAGCAGGTAACGGAAGTTCTAGGTCTGGATAGGCACCCCATGATTGTAATTGATTGATACCATTTATGAAACCACACGCTTGTTACACTGCAATAAATAAACAGAGGTTTATGTCCCAATTTAACCCAGACTGGACTCAGTATTTTACCCGGTAGGGCCTGGGTGGTGGCAGTGAGAAATAAAGTGGTGGCACAGGGATCAATAGATGGTGAAATGTCCAGGGACCCTGTGTGATCACCACACCATTTTTTTTATTTTATTTTTTTGTAAAACAAGCTCATTTTATAAGCCAACACCTTTTTCAAAGACAGCTCCTCTGGAAGCCGTGAGCGACCTGGATCAAAGCAGAACTCACTGTGAGATATCTGTAAGGTGGTTTTTTTTTTTAGTTTTTTAAATATTTTATTTTTACCAACCACCAAAACACAAACAGTGAAACCCTCCAGGCGGCTGATACATTGAGTATACATATTCAATAATATACATATTCAATAATATTCAATAATAACATATTCAAATCAACCATATGTACACTTCTATATACCTTAACACTCCTCCCTCCACAAGGTTTACTTAACTTTTAACATTTTAATAGCCCCAAATTGTTCAAACCTACCCAAATAATTCAATATCTTCTCAAACCAATCCTCCTCTTTCTCACTGAACTTAAACCCTTTCATTCTATGTATCTTCACAGTTAGGTATTCTAGTGAGATATCTGTAAGTGAATTAAAAGTACTTACAGTACTTGCTTAGCTAGCTGGCTCAGATGCAAGGCAAGAAGGGGGAAAATTAATAATAATAATAATAATAATAATAATAATAATAATACCTCATATGTATAGTTTGGGCAAGAAACAAACAGAAACAACCATGTGAAAGGGTTGATTGATGGGCTTGGGAAAGAGCCCTTATTGCCTATAAGGAAAAGAAAAAAGACCAATATTTCATTATAACAGTTTGAGGAATGAGAAGTCAATTCTAACCTATGAATTTCTATCGTCTACGGACCACACTACAGATAGAAATCAGCTTCAAAGACATTTTAACTGTGACCGCTTCTGAACCAAGGATTCCTGAGAACAAGCAATATGGAAAGGACTAACAAAAGGATTCTTCTCACATTCACAATCTTAGTTACCAGGATTTGAGTGGGTGGGGGGAAGGACTATTTAAAACAAATTGCAAAGTGTTTTAAATCGTATGGTGTAGATGCAGAATGTACAATAGTGCGGTGGTACTCCCACCATAGGGAACTGGCCACAAAATAATTCTAGCATACTGTATTTCCTACTAAAGAGCAGCACACTGTATTGCTGCTGTAAAAGTTTGACAAATCTGACGCGGGAATTCTGGGTTTAGACATACTAAATCAGAGTAGACCCACTGAAATTAATAGACACTATTAACTTAGGTCCATTGATTTCAATGGGTCTGATTTGAGCTGAACTTGGTTGAATACAGGCATCGAGGGACCTGTCAAATCTCTCACAGTTTCTCAGTTTCCCAATGTTAAATTCTGTTGTCAATATTTTGCAGCAATTTGCAATTAAAAAAAGAATCATTCAACACTTTTGCATGAATTTCTCCAAATAAACACATGTTAATATGCTGTTACTTTTTTTGCAAGCAATTTCCCCTAATATAATGTTTTTTTGTAAACATTGCGTGGTTAAAGAACTTCAAAACAAAATTCAGACAGGTGCAAATTTCAAAGAATAGATGTGTTTTGGTTCACATACCATTTTGGAAAGTATGAATTTGACTTATTTTGTTTTAAATGAGTAGTGAATCACATTTCTCCTCCATTCATCTGTAATAAATTATGTTTCCAAGTATCCTACACTCTGGCTTGTCCGCTTGCTGCCTATTCCCTTTCCTGGAAATTAAATTTTCTACTGGGCCAAACTATGACTCTTGATTAAAGGCCATTGTATTGGGACATGCGTACTTTGAGTGTTCTTATATAATCATATACATATGTAGATAAGGAAACATGATGAGTGTTCACAGACTTGCCCCCAAATGAATTATTGTGAAAAATAGGAAATATTTAAAGGTAAAGGGTAAAGGGACCCCTGACCATTGGGTCCAGTCGTGACCGACTCTGGGGTTGCGGCGCTCATCTCGCTTTATTGGCCGAGGGAGCCGGCGTACAGCTTCCGGGTCATGTGGCCAGCATGACTAAGCCACTTCTGGCGAACCAGAGCAGCGCACAGAAACGCCGTTTACCTTCCCGCTGGAACGGTACCTATTTATTTACTTGCACTTTGATGTGCTTCTGAACTGCTAGGTTGGCAGGAGCAGGGACCGAGCAACGGGAGCTCACCCCGTCGCGGGGATTCGAACTACCGACCTTCTGATCAGCAAGTCCTAGGCTCTGTGGTTTAACCCACAGCGCCACCCGCGTCCCTTTTAGGAAATATTTGGGGGGCGCCAAATTTTGTCCTTGCTCGGGATACCAAATTACCTAAATTCACCCCTGAATATGGTCACTTGAATTTCTAACCCAGACAGACGGAACGTTAGGAGGATTATCATAGGTAAGCAATTATAATCAAACTACAGACCTGATTGGTTTTGATGGACTAATGCAACATTGATAAAATGATTCCCAGCTTCGCACAGCTGAAAAAAAATTGCAAAAATAAAAAAGCATTAGATTTTCAGGCTTTAACTGTAGAATCATAAATTTAGCTTGTCCCCACAATGATGGGGAAAATGAAGGTGCTTTATGCACCACTCTGAGATCCCTCGAGAAGAAAGGCAGTCTAGAGGAATGGCTAAATATAAAATAAGATCAGCCAGGGAGAATCGCAACAAATTTTCCATTCACACCCACTGGGAGAGATAGGGGGACCCACACACAGCTTTAACGATTTGAAAGAACATGGACATCAAGAAAGGAAAATTTACTGCTCACACATCGCAGAGCCCTGGTAACATCAACAACAAGGTGACTTGCGCAAATGACCTCATCCATTTCTTGAATCGATGTTCCAGTCCTCAGAGAATTTACTTTGAAGTATAACCCTTAGATATCAGTGGCATTTACTTTCAAGAATGTGTGACTACCCAGCCTACGTACAAGCCACCAGCCAATATTTGTTCCCTGCCAGATGCTTCACACACATACACAATTTTTACAGTCCTAGGCAGGCAGCAGAGCCAAGAGATTTACGAAGTCTTGAATACACTGCTATCCATCACTAGCGGACTATATTTGGCTTTGATGGTCATACATTGTGCAGGCCTGATCCAGAGAGGAATCATGGAAGATGTATTTTAATAGTGAAGGTACGGAGAGCTTTGTCATCTTTTTGCAGGCAGACTTGCTGCCCAGGTTCACAATTGTCTCATTTGGAATGTACCCTTGTGTACATAAAATATTAAGAAATAAAGGAAAATTGGTACGCTAGGTTGTAAGAAAGTATTAGAAAGTATATTAAATGTAAGGTAATAATTATAAGTACATTCAAAATCACAAATGTCAACTATATCGGGAAATGATGGGAAGTCTATATTTATTTTACTTCAGTTTGTTGTTGTTTTGTTTTATTTTATGTACCGTTATATGATTTTAGCTTAGCTGAAATCTAAGTGGAATTAGGTCAAATTTACATTCTAAGTTAAACTAATTTAAGAATATATTATACATACATACATACATATATATATATATATATATATATATATATAGTATGTGCATGTGTGAAGTTAAATCTGTAATGACATTAATGAAAGTGTCTCCCTTCTTAGTTCGCCTGTCTTGGGAGAGTATATGCAAAAGTGTGCATGTGTGTGTGTGTGTGTGTGTGCCACATTCAATTTTTTTACCCTCCCTCACTTCCTGCCCATACATACCAGAAACACAAGGGCAGAAATAGTAACTTGCTTGTTCCCAAATGCTAGAAAACAGAATGAAAACATAATTAGGACTCAGCTATACAGCTGCAATTAAAACATTTCAAGTGTGTTGTAAGGTGCATTATACAAATGTGGCACTAGCTGGCGATGGTGACCTATGACAAATTCAATATCTTTTTCAAAACGTTTTCTAAAAAAGCATTCTCACAACATTTTTTTTACATGTGTCTAGATTCCACTTTAGTCTTACATATAATGTGAAGTCTACTTAAGCCTTTTTTGTTGTTGTTATATATGGAATAGGCCTTGTTAGCCTTAGAAGCCTCATCTTTAGACATCTCTGGAGTTTTTTTATGTGTGCCTCTCCTTATGAATCAATGCCTCGCAAACTCAGGCAGGCACCAACTTCATTTTACATGTTGCCTAACTAGGAGACTTCTATTGCTACATCACCTTATAGAGAAGACTATTATACTGCCACAGGTTTCCAAAAGCAGATTGCATATTTCAGAAAAACTATTTTGGAGCAAAAATATTAATTTGTTAGAAATCTGACAGTCACCCCAGAATTTAAATTAGACTCCAGATTGGATCGAGTCCCTCAGACCCTGAATCATAGTGATGGCATCCCTATAGCATCCCATAGTGATGGCATCGGTCCAGTATACCTGAAGGAGTGACTCCACCTCCATTGTTGTGCCCGGACAATGAGGTCCAGCACCGAGGGCCTTCTGGCGGTTCCCTCACTGCGAGAAGCCAAGTTGCAGGGAACCAGGCAGAGGGCCTTCTTGGTAGTGGCACCCGCCTTGTGGAACGCCCTCCCACCAGATGTCAAAGAGAAAAATAACTACCAAGCTTTTAGAAGACATCTGAAGGCAGCCCTGTTTAGGGAAGCTTTTAATGTTTAATAAGTTATTGTATTTTAGTGTTTTGTTGGAAGCTGCCCAGTGGCTGGGGAAACCCAGCCAGATGGGTGGGGTATAAATAAATAAATTATTATTATTATTATTATTATTATTATTATTATTATTATTAACATGCCAGGGCCTGGGGGTGCCTTTGGTACCTTTGGTGCCTTTGAACCCTCACCAAAACTGCCCTTCCTCAATCATGCAACTTAAGAAATGGAGAGGGGTCCAAGCAATTCCATGACAGAGACTGAAGTCTGAGATGCTACAACAAAGCTCTGAATGCAATGCTACAGACACAATGCAGTTTTTAGCAGAGCTGAGTTCTCTTCATTTCTAGTTTCCTCAGAAGCTGTGGTGAAATACTGTCTTTAGTACATCTTAGGAGGATCCACTCTGGATCTGACTGAGAATCTGATTAGTTTTAAAACTAGAATGTCAGAGAGGGGGCTAGTTTAACCTCCTCCCCCCCCTGTGTATTTGTTTACTATAATATGCAAGGCATATGAACAGCCTCCTGCTTTTATAATAAAGTGGTACAATCCAGAATTTGTGGGACATCAGTGCAATCTCTCTCCATGTCTCTGCATGGCTCCTGCATGTTTCGCTCCAAGGGACAGAAAGCGCTGTCAGCATCTTATGAAAATATATTGATTTCCATGTATAAGGTCTCCTAATTCACAACTAATTTTACCCTTGGGGGCTTGTTGGGATGAGGGAAAGTTACACCCCAACTACAATATGGTCTGAAATCATCCTCTGTCAATTCTCTAGAGTGGGGAATTTTATCCACTCCGATTCTCTCCTCAGCACGGGGACAGTATTTTTTACTGACCCTTCACTGGGTTGGATTCTAAAGCTAGACCTCTGCATTCCTTCCCTCTTTTCCCATCTAATATCTGAAATCTTGCTAGAAATTGTCGTCCTGTTTTGGTGTGGAATTCTCAAATCCTGACTTTAAAAAAGGAAAAACAGCCCCTGATAATAATAATAAAAATAAAAATAAATTTATACCCCACCTTTCCTGGTTTAAAAACTGGGCTCAGGGTGGCTAACAGCAAATATAAAACATTGATTAAAATGCGACTTAAAAACAGCATAAAACAGCATAAAATATAACATAAAATGCAGCATCAATATCAATAAAATTCAAAAATTCAGGGGGTCATTTTTTTTGGGGGGGGGAGAACCCAGTCAGTAGACATCAAATGATCACCAGGGCTAACTGGCCAAGTCCTCTTAGGGCCAGCAAGGAGACCAGGGAAGAATTTAAATGTGTAGTCCCAGAAAGGGTTTCTTCATAGAAGAGGAAAGGGAAAAGGGAATAGAGGATCAGGCTAATTCAAACTGAAGGCCAGGTGGAATAGCTCTGTCTTACAGGCCCTGTGGAAGGAGATCAAATCCTGCAGGGCCCTAGTCTCGTGGGACAGAGCATTCCACCAGGTCAGAGCTGCAACTGAAAAAGCCCTGGCCCTGGTGGAGGATAGTCTGGCTTCCTTAGGGCCTGGGACCTTTAAGCTATTATTATTCATGGACCTTAAGGTCCTCTGCATGACATACCAGGAGAGGTGGTCCCGTAAGTACAAGGGTCCTAGGCCGCAAACTCTATAGGCCAATTCTTGTAGCATGAGGCAAGTTTCTAGTGCAACACGTGCCCTTTGCATTACTTACATGGAGGAGTGTACTGTGGGTGATTGATGTAGTAAGCAAGCCAAGACGTGAACCCCCAGTAAAAAGTGCAACCCTGTAATGAGAACATAGAGATAATGAAAGGATATACCAAAATGAACTACTGTCTCTACAGTAGTTGGCACAATGGGGACAACAGATCCCGACCAGGTACACACATCTGTTTATTGGATGCTGATGCTCTGGTAACTGGTTGTCAGGGACTGGACGTCAGAGGAGGAATTGTGGAGACCGCCCCCCCCTCCTGAATCTTCCTGAGAAGAGGAGGACGGTATAGATCAGGCTTCCTCAACCACGGCCCTCCAGATGTTTTTGGCCTACAACTCCCATGATCCCTAGCTAGCAGGACCAGTGGTCAGGGTTGATGGGAATTGTAGTCTCAACACATCTGGAGGGCCGAGGTTGAGGAAGCCTGGTATAGATTAACAATGGTGGTTTGCTGAGGGTCACAGCTCAGAGATAGAAGAGGGGCAAAGCTGGGAAATAATGGGAAAAGGAGAGCAGGAACAGCTGGCTGACACATTATCACTAGAGAGCATTCCAGACCTCCCTTCTCCCAGAACCAGGTGGTCAATGAAAGTAGGAGAGCAGAGAGCCCAGAGGCAATTGTCCCTAAGCAGACACCGTAAAGGGGTTGGGGGCTGTTGACAACTGAGAAGGGAAGGGGGGAGGGGTAATGCCATTACCCAAGAGATGACATTTCTACGTCTCTCTGTGTGAATATGGAATAAAAGACCTTGGTAAGAGCTTCTTGTCTTTCCGTTACTGCCAGCCTGCCATGAGGGAGGGGGAGCAGATTTCCTGAAGCCTGACACTGGTAGTCCCTCCTCACTCTGCTGCCCTGACTATGTGACAAGTCCTTTCCAGTAAAGAGGTCTTCTCCTGGCTCTTTGTTGTTTAGTCATTTAGTCGTGTCCGACTCTTTGTGACCCCATGGACCAGAGCATGCCAGGCACTCCTGTTTTCCACCATCTCCCGCAGTTTGGTCATGCACACTTCTTCAGATACACTGAAACAGAAGTCACCAGATCCTTATATATAGTGGGAGGGTGTGGTAAGGTTTTTCTCAGAAGGGTAGTAGGAGATGGGTGATTGACTCAATGGGTATGATAAACCTGCTGATGACTGTTAATGCCTGCAATTAGTCCTACAGGAAAAAGCAAGGGATGTTGTTGTTGTTTAATCATTTAGTCGTGTCCGACTCTTCGTGACCCCATGGACCAGAGCACGCCAGGCACTCCTGTCTTCCACTGCCTCCCGCAGTTTGGTCAAACTCATGCTGGTAGCTTCGAGAACACCGTCCAACCGTCTCGTCCTCTGTCGTCCCCTTCTCCTTGTGGCCTCCATCTTTCCCAACACCAGGATCTTTTCCAGGGAGTCTTCTCTTCTCATGAGGTGGCCAAAGTATTGGAGCCTCAGCTTCAGGATCTGTCCTTCCAGTGAGCACTCCTAGCACCTGCCTATTCACTAGGTCAGTCCTCCCTAACCTACAGTGCTCCAAACGTTTTGGACAGCAAATCTCATCAGCACCAGCCAGCATGGCCAATTGGGAGCTGTAGCCCAGCAACACCTGGAGGGCACCAGGTTGGGGAAACCTGCCTTATTCTTACTCAACCCAAGTCTCCCTGAATTTTTCCTCTACTCCATCACATTGCTGCAGAGATTCCCCTCAGGTTTTCCTGTTCTTCTTTGGCTCCCTCAAGCAGTATCAGACATAAACCCCTGGGGTCTTCTCCAGTATGGGCTGCTCTCTGAACTCTCAGATTCCAGACTCTGTCCCATAATTTCCATTAAGTTCCATACCCCATATATGCTCACTTGACCACTTTGATCCCCAGAACTTTCCCTGTTACATGTGCCACATAATACTTGTTCCGCACCTGTAAGAAATCAATATTTTAGTATGGCAGCACCTACACTTTTGGTTTAGTAAAAGGCTGCCCAGGTTGGCATGTGTTTTAATCTTTTTAGGCTTTTTAGTTTAGGTGAAAGAGGGCCTTCTCTGTGGATGCTCCCAGACTTTGAAACTCAGTCACTAGAGAAGTTAGATTGCTGTCTTTCTGATGGAAGGTGAAGACTTCCTTGTTCCACCAGGATTTTGAGAACTCACTGCTTTTAATGAAGGGGCAGGCGCCATGCTGTTTTTATTATAATTATTTGTATGGTCTTAAAATATATATTATGTGCATATATACAGTTTTAATTGTATCCATGTTTAATTGTTTTTTAGTCATTGGTTTCCCCCCTAAGTTTTTACCTGTTTTTGTTTTAAATCTTTAAAGTGCCTTAAGTCCCTGTCAGGGGAAAAGGTGGGGTATAAATAACATAATAATAATAATAATAATAATAATAATAATAATAATAATATACTGTTGGTTTAAATTATCTTTTTAATGTTTTTACATGTTTTTAACGGTCATATTGATAATTTTAATATTGTGCTTTTGTAAACCACTCAGGAGTTTTATTATAATCTGGTAGTATTTAAATTTTGCCAAGTAGATAAAATACTCAACAGAGGAGCAAGAATTGTTGTAACTATTCTCCTTTCCAAGAAAATGCACTTTTAAAGTTTGCCTAGCAACAGCAGAGGCTGAGAAACAGTCCCCATTGTGATGTCATAATGCTTTGCAGCCAACTCAGTCTCTGCTGATCCCAGCTATTCAGTTGGATGTGCAATCTCTTTGATAACGCTGCTGTCACCTGTTGTGCCACAAACCCCTGCCAAGCTCTTAAAGTGAACAAGATGAAGCCTTTTACAGATGAGAGGAAAATGAAGATTCTGTTTCTCCTACCACTGTTACTGAGCTGGGCTTTCACTATATCACTCCTTATCAAGTCACCTGTCACTTTTCTGCAAGCCATAACAACCTTGCTATGACAGCTGGCACAGCAGACCTTTTGAGGGTGAGAAGCTTGCAGTCCTCGTTTCGGTGGGGAATGGAGACAGCATCTTTCTCCATCTCCCAGGCTGCCTCAAAAGGGGATGAAGTGGTGAAGAGCAGAAGGCAGAGCACAGAATCCAAGGAGAGGGGTCCCTAGATCTGAGTGAAAGGAGAGGCCTTGGAAGGTACGTAGTCTAGAGTGCATCCTATAGCGTAGGAGGAAACTCCCTGGGCTGGAAGGCAAGGATATACGGGAGGAGGACATGAAGGCATCTATGTACTCCTCAGAGTATGGATTGAATCTCCTTTCCTTTGCTGGCTCAACCCTAATGGGAGAAAAACATCCTCTCAGAGGGCACTTCAGCTGGGACCCAAGAAGGTACCAGACAAGCCTCAAGCACTGCATCAATTTAGCTAGTGAAATATTTTTAAGGATAACTATACAATAAAGAAAAATTTAGAGGTGTGGGGAAGGATGAACTATCATTATTGGGAAGGATATCGGTAATTAAAATTAATGTATTGCCAAAAATGTTGTTTTTGTTCCAATCTGTACCCTTGATCAGCAATGCAGGTCACTTCAGAGAATGGCAAAAAGATATTACCAGATTTATCTGGCAGGGAAAGAAGCTAAAAATAAAATATAAATTGCTGATAGACTCTAAAGACAGAGGCCGATTCTCCTTACCGGATTTAAGATTATATTATGAGGCATCCTGTCTATGCTGGCTAAGGGAATGGATATTATTAAAAAAATACTGATGTTGAAGGTCATGATAATAGATGTCGTTAGCATGCATATTTGTGGTATGAGAAAATTAAAGTACATAGAGCGTTTTAAAATCATGTACTAAGAAAATTGGTTTATGAAGTATGGGGAAAATATAAAAGTCTATTAGAACAAAAAACACCATGGTGGCTCTCCCCGCTGGAAAGACTCTCCTCCCTGGAAGAGAGGGGAGTGGTTGTGGGCGGGAGACCGAGCTCCGCCCCTGGTAGGGGCTTTAGCCCCCTCCCCTCCTACCTGGCTGGTGCCCACACCCACCGGAGGTGGCCAACCAGGTGCCTCCGGGGGCGTGTGTAGCAGCTTAATGCTGTGGTGCTAGCTCCGCCTCCTCCTCATTCATCGTCGTCCCTCAGCGAATTGCTAGTTTGGTGAGAAATAACACTTCACTGAAGTGGATAACGCTTTGGCCAAGAGCTCACCTTTGGCAATCTTCTAGAACATGTTGCATATGTAGCAGTTCTTTCTAGCTTGAGTGAAACTCAAACCTGACATTTACAGTACCAGATAGAAGTGTTCTGGAATGTCCTGGCTGTGTCTGGAATGTCCTGGCTGTGTCTGTAGTACAACAGTTTTGGGAAATCTGTAGGAGAGCATCCCACCAATCTCTTGTCATACTAACAACCGTGTTATCAGCTAACAATCAAACGTGCTAAAATTTTAGCTACATTGGCAACAGGATGTTGGCTAGAAGCAACTGGTTTTCTGAAGCTAAAACTTACAATTTTGTTCTAGGAGTTACTTGATCACAATATAGAACTATTTGTTTATTCATTATGAGTTTTACACATGATGAAAACGTATACTCAAGCGGATATTTTATAATCACTGTACTATACTATGATACAGTGCATAATGAACATCCACATTCAACTAGTCTGTGTGCCAGCCCCCTTCAGATTCAGCACAGAGAGCACCAAGTGACTCAGAAACAAATCAGAAGTTTAAAAGTCATGATACAAAATGAGGCTTGCGGCCTATGTGCATATCTAACCTTAAAAATAAAATAAAATAACAAAAACAAACAAACAAACCGCACCACAGGGTAAGACTCCCAAAATCAGTTAAGACAGACCTTGAAATCTGGATCACGTTTCTGCAATGCTTCAATGTAGTCTCCTTATGGCAGGAAATCCTCAACCTGTCCTCAAATTGCCAGGTTCACTGATGCCACTGGGTCCTTGGGCTTCAGTTTATTCTTTAGGGGACGCTGGGGTGCTCAACAATGGCCAGCAGAGGAGCAAGACAAAGTTATCACGTGGGATCTCACTTTTCTGGAGTTTTTTCCCCCTTAGTTGTGGCTGTTCACATTTGGACTGAGGAGTTCCAGAATCGCCGGGTGTGCTTCAGATCTGAAAATCAGGCAGTGGTCAACATACTGGCTAA